TCTGCAAAGATCAAGTTCGTGTGTTCGATCCTAGCTTCGTGCAAGGATTGATTTTGTGTTTTGATAGTTTAAGTTTCAGAATGATATAATGGGAATTTACATTCTCGATTTCGTTCTGGTTCAAGATTAAAGCTTAAACCAAATAAATATTTGCTGTTTTTCTACAGCATGAGAAATGCTCAAAGCCATAAAAAGGATAGGTGCTCAACTGAAGAATTAGAAAATTAAGAAAACAAATTTTTTTTCAATTAGATAAATGTAAAAATTTGGTTTTAGTAATAAAAGATGGAGAACTTCTCGATGTATCTGATGGCATATTTGTTCCTACAGATTTATTTTTTTCTGCTTTTTAATATTCAAAACATTGAAAAACGTCTTCGACCGCTAAAGTAACAACGATAACTGTCCTTTCAGTTAGCGATAAACCTTTCACTGTACTGTCAAAACGATTTCTTAGATCTGCACCACGAGATTGATAAAAACTGCCCAACTTTACATCCTAAAACCAATAATTAGACTGTACATAACGTCGTTTAATGGGTCTTGTTTGTTGAGTATAACACATTCTATGATACTTCTTGATCCTGACAAAGAACAGATCTCTATCTGTAAGACTGACCAAGGTAATGATCACAAAGCTTAAACTTCTAGGAAGCAAAAGCTCTTAACGTCAAATAAAACTAAAAGTGATATGTAAAGAAAGTATAGAACTGCCACAAAAAAAGCTCTTCAAACTATTTTCATCATTCAAAGATCTTCTTAAAGAAGAATAACATCTTTCTTTTATTTAATTTATTAGAAATGAATCATATTTAATGGACTTTGGAAGCTCTTTTATTCATATAGCTATACTCAATTATACATTTTTCATCGTTTGCAAAAATATGAAAAAATAAGAAGCCACTCTTACATTTCATAAAAAATGATGACTAGTTTAAGTGTTTTCTTTTTATATACTTCGAAACTGGTCTTAGTTGAAATAAAAAAAGATAATGTACTCAAAGCATTTTATATTTTCTATCTGTGTTCAAAACTGCTCTGTCATTTGGTTTCAAAATAGTCCTGCAGCATTGAAGTTAGATGTAAAGCCTTTAACAATCTTAAATTAACAAAGTAGATAAATCATAGAATAAAATGATGTTAGCAGTATGTGTTCTATCTTTTATTATTCTATTAATACATCTTATTTCCACTGTAAACGCTGTCCAGTTAATTCGTACATCTTTTGCATCAATTATTACAAATCTAACAACCGTGCAACCATCATCGGACGCTAATTGTACTAACTGTATATGCCAATGTTTGGAATATCCAGATTTGTGCTATGGCATTAATTGTTTCCCATCGAATCAATCATGCCAATTGATCTATGAACAATCAACAGTTTTAACGGTTAGTTATTCATCAGCAAATTTCGTTTATAAAATTACTGATTCAAGATCAACGGGTTAGTAAAACAGCATTGCTTAACTGTAATACAAATCGAAAGTTTTTTTATAGACATTACAAAATTGCTAACAGCAACACAAGAAAGTGTATTAATTCCATTAAACCAATTCGGTACCGCACTGCCAACAAATGATACATCAAATTCAACGATACGTACGTAAAAATCAGAAGTCGCTCTTGAGGAGGGAAGGAACAGAAGCATCTATCATGTAGCTTTTTCTCTGTTTGCATATCGTTAGGATTGGAATGTTTATTCTACTCAAATTATGACATTCCTGGCAATGATATCGGATCTTCTGTACCAAACGTCACACTGGATGAATGTTGTCAGCAATGCTTGGACATGGATAACTACTGCAAAGCATTCGCATGGGGACCACAAGACAATGAACCGACTTGCTTTTTAAAATATGCATATGGGACCAATGTTGTTTCTAGTACGATTCGTACAATGGGAATACTAACGAGTAAGTGAAGAACAGACAGTATATGCTGATTCTATATAGAAATTGCATTCTGTTCTAGGTGTCACTGAAACAACCATTAGTCCGTCATGAGAGAAAAAATGTGGTAGGTTACAAAAACGTAACACAACATCATGAATGATAAGTTTTTTTAAAATGTTTCGCAAGTGACTGAATTTGCTTTTCAAATAAATCGATGGAACTCAATTGAACCAAATCTAGATTTGAACTTGTGATCGTGTAACGGCCTCTTACAGCTGTTTGTAGTCTGTGAAGCGTGTTGGTTTTTCGACTAGATGTTGCAATTGGATCGATTGAATATGGTGATGGTAGCTTTTGGAAAGAGAGACTTTTTGTATGAAATGATTTTCCCTAAATCATCTGAGAGTTGTTTAAAATACATTTTTGTTGTAACATGCTGTTTTTCTTAGTTTTAATGCAGTAAAATAAATGAATTAATCTCTGGTGGCAAAGACACCAAGGTACATTATCTTTTTTTATTTAAGCTCTGACCAGCTTCGAGAATTTAAGAAGCGTTTTCCAGTTTGACAAGAGAGAGAATGCAAAATATGATGATTTTCGGCAAAGTTCACAATTTATTTTTAAGATCCATATATTATTCCTTCCTGCACGTATGTTCTAATGTTGAGTATTTACAAAGATGTTCTTTTCTTTCCCTCTATTTTCTTCTACGCAGAATGTCACATATATAGCGCTTAAAGGATTGGCTCCAGACAAAAAGTATATAAAGGGTAGTGTTGAAGCCACGTTTCTGTTAAATTTTTATCTATATTGACTTTGTGTTTAAAAATTTTGTATTTACCTCAAAAGATAGAGAATTTAATTCTCTAGGAAACTGTTGATTTTGTTTTGAAATTATTTTTCAAATTTCAGCAGAATATTCACGATATTAAAATATTCTAATTTTCTAAAAAGCACAGAATAAACTTAACTTATTTAACTGATCTCTCAATTCCACTTACAGATAATTATTTTAACGTCAAAAGATGTAGAACTTTATGTTGTACACTCTGACACTATTTTTTTAAGTTAAATGATTATTCTTTTTTGCGAAAAGGAAAGCGCTAAATTGACTGATTTACGCAGAAAATCTATATGAGCGGCATTTTGCCCTCAAAGTCAAAATTTAGAGCCATGCATTTTATATCAGAATAGAATAATTGATGACATTGTGATTTGGCTTAAGGATAGATCTTGATATATTAGGCCAAATTACAGATCTTCCAAAGTCGACGTTCAGTTCGCTCGAAAAGAACTTTTGAACAGTTCTTTCGCTCATTTGAACGGAGTTCGTGAACGTGAGCTGGTGAACCCCTAATCAGAAGATGCAGAATTTCTCACTTTACAAGATCACATACATCGGTAAATGAAATTCTAAATTTAATTTTAAAAGCGTAAAATAATATTAGATGCTACTAAAGGTGAATCCTGCTAGACGGCTTGTCCAGCTAACGGTATCCTTTTTTCGCTCTTGATATATATATCACTGTTGATATATATTTACTTCAAGCATTTTGAAAGTGTATACGTAGGGAAAGAAAAAAGAACGATTGGCCTCAATGTGCTTTTTCCCAACTCAAAAAATTTATAAACGAAAAAAAATGAATCACGTGCATATATTGAAAAGAAAACATTATGTGAGGTGAAATAAGAAAGGTAATGCATGTTTTCATCCTAAATCCTTTTTACTGATGAAAAATATTAAATATCTTTTTTTTTACGTGCTCTTGTAAGGTTTCTCCATTATGGACTAAAATTTTTTTATATTTAGTAATTTTACAACCGCCTTCTTAGTTACTAGAGACTCAGACAGAATTCATTTCTGAAAGAATCAAAGAAGATACCACGACCGGTTTCGACCTTTCTCAAGGGTCTCATCAGGTGGTTTCCTTCGAGAAAGACAGAGTTAGGGCACGACAAGCAACACAAACTCCGTCCACACCGTATGAGGGTGTTACTATTCCTTGTTCTTATCGAACAAAGAACGATAACTTTCACACGACGAGAGCGAAGCACGATATCACTGTACAATGCACATGTTCTGCTTCTCTACGTTAAGTATTTCTTTTCATTCTATCAGAAATGACTCATCCTTTTAAACATAAACTGTATCTAGTAACTTTCACTCAACAACTGTTGAGATAAATGTGAAAAGCACCATACTTATGGTTCGATCTTGGGAAGTGGTCACCCATCTTCTTACTAATCGTAGTTTTGACTACTATTTTTGTTTCCCTTTCTTGATGTGTTATTTCTCGTGATTTTCTTGTTGAATACATATGATCAATCCACCAATCCATTTCTGAATCAGAATATTTGTTAATTGGAATCCATAATGTATCCTGCCGATTCACATACAAATATTCAAACTTTAACTTTTCATTTTTAAATACTTTTTCACTATCTATCTCAGTTAAAGTGATTAGTTACGAAAATACAGCTGTCGTATAAACAGCCCCAAAAATCGATTTTAGAGCTATCTGAAAAACGTGTCTGAAAGACTGAAGACGAGCAGGCGAAAATTGAACAAGTATACTAGTTTGTAGAAAATTGTTGCTCTACATGATGTGATAGCTTGTTAAGTTCGAAACTATTCTAATTAATCCATATTAATCAAAGAAAAATCAGAAAAACCGTCACGGTGTGACAAAAAACGGTCAAAAGGTCACAGCGTGACGGTTTTTCTGATTTTTCTTTGATTAATATAGATTAATTAGAATAGTTTCGAACTTAACAAGCTATCACATCATGTAGAGCAACAATTTTCTACAAACTAGTATACTTGTCCAATTTTCGCCTGCTCGTCTTCAGTCTTTCAGACACGTTATTCAGATAGCTCTAAAATCGATTTTTGGGGCTGTTTATACGACAGCTGTATTTTCATAACTAATCAACATTCAGAGCCAAACACTTTTCATTTTGTAGAAAAATGTTTAATGTACTTAAGAGACATTTTGCCACCACATCAAACATAGTGCCAAAAGTCGGTCAAGTGAAATTTTTTGACCTATATATTTTTTCTATTTTTGGATTCTATGATCAAAACTGGGGTTATGAAAGAATTTTAAGGTCGTTTAGACTTGATTTCGCCGAGATATATAATTTATAAAATTAGGTGTATCGAAGATTTTCAAAAAAGCGCCCTCCGTGATTTTTTGCCTATAACTTCGTCAAATTTTATCCATTCTATTCGAATGGCGTCTCATTCCAAAGTCCATCAAAAAATGAACAAAATCAGATGTTTCTAAACTTTTTCGACCGAGAACTGGACTTTTCAGAAGCCTACCATTTGAAAAATGACTAATTTTAAAAACAAAAGTTTTTCAATAAAGTTTATTTTTCTCCATCCAGTAGATTTCCCACAAAATGTAAGTCAGTGTGTTTTGTAGAGCGCACAATTCTCTATATAATGAGCTATAAAATTTTCTTTCACAACCTCAGGAACATGTTGAAAAATTGCTTGCAATTATTACCATCAAAGTAATTATACTATCATTTTTTTTAAAACTGCAATCTT